TTAGTAAAGTCAAAAACCCTGCAAGGTTGGATAAAAAACTGCACGGGTTTAGTAAACCACTTTATTGAGTTTTTTGAGGCAAAGAAAAACCCCACGGGTTTTTTACCTGCTTCGCGAAACCTTTCAGGCTTCAGAAGAAACCCTAACTATTTTGCTAAACCGTAGTTTACAAAACCCTAAGGTTCCGTAAGACTAATAAACCCTTCAAACGACCTTTTAGGTTTTTAAGAACGACTCAAATACTCTTACGGGATTAGTAACATTTCGTAAACGCATTAGGAAACCCTTTGAGTTTTGTACACGACGCTTTTTTTTTAGAGTGTACCGGAACCTACAGATCAAACAGCGCTTGAATTTTCCACATGTTCTCTTTACTGATGTCCACTGGTTATTTGCTGCTTTTACTCGCATAGAATCTTTTAAGAGCCATTCTGGAATGTTCGTTATCCACTTTGTCGTGGTTTAACAGCTCGAAGTTAGCCTTAACAAGGGGAGCAAATTTTTCCAACCGTACTTTTTCCAACACTTTATCTTGCCCCTGACCTAGATTTTCGTATTCCGTTCCAATCGCTTTATGAAATCCTTCAATAAGTTCGTTACCACTCGTCATATTTTTATAACTATCGCATAGTTCTTCGATCAGTGACTTCGACATACGTTCATATAACAGACAGTTATAATCACTTTTTTCCCAGCTAGTACGAGCCAGTTGGTATCTAGTTACTATAGAATCTACCCATTGATCTTTCTGAGCATTATACCATTCATGACGATCCATATATAAAGTCTCTTCCAACATGTCTGTTTCACGATTCACTCTTATTACTCTGACTGAAGTAATGTTCGGATTTTCCATTACAATCCTCAACTCCTCTTCACGAAAGAATGAATCCATGTCTGTATCATCGACATTCAGGCTGATTTGACCGCTGGCACATGCAGCAAAACCCAAAATGTAGGTAGGCGTAACTTCTTTTTTGACGCTGTAAGGGACACTCAAGTCGTCCCACATTGGGTTTAGGACCGGCAGCCCTGCGTCAGTCATGGCTACTGTATGATAAAGCTCTGAACGTGTATAATTACTCTCGCCTTTTGATTCGACTTTGGCATTCTTTTCCACAAGCCAACGCTCGGCGATAATTCTGCCTAATCCATAGCCAAGAGGATGCAAAGGAATATAACCACCCGACCATAATACTGTTTTACCTGGCGGAGCGCTAATTTCACCGGATGCTAGCGCTTTTTCGGCAAATTCAATAGTGTAGAATTTAGCTTTCTCCTCCGTAGTATAATGACGCGGATAGATAGTTGTAAGGCTCTGCGCAAAACGTGTTTTCTTAAATATATCGGAGAGCATATTAGGACTCATTGTCGAATAATCGTAAGGTCTATGATCATAACCACTGAAATGCAGCCCATTACTTTTCGCAATAACATGATCACGAATTAATGACTTAGACATTATCTCAGCATTCGAGCGAATGGCCGGAATTGTTATTGACTCATAATGTGCGCCCGCTACAATAGGGCCCAGTGCATAATGCCGCGATGATGGTTTACCTTTGGCATTAATGAGTCTAAAGTTATCATCAACATCGAGCCCTCCGCCATGGTGCATTCTTGCCAAACCGGTAACAATCAGTTCTTTAGCGCACACAGGCATTTGTTCCCAACATCTTGATGGACCGGTATTATTAACAATTTTCTTTGTATGTACAGTTCTGATAGTTCCATCCTGGTTCCTGATAGTCAAGTTGAAACCGGTGTCTGTAGCATTCTCTATGTATTCCAGGCCGCCCGAAATTTCAAGTCTTCCTTCCCTTCGAAGTTTGTTTATGTGTTCCCATTGCTCATTGGGAATTCTGTATCTGGCATAACACCATAACGTTCCGTATTTTCTTATGAAAGACTGCTGTTCATCCTTGATCATCGCTCTCCACAGCGTATTCGTGTCAGAGAACATTGAATCTACTACATCTCGCCATTCAAAACCTGTTCTATGAGCAACTATCATCTCCTTCCTGAATAACTCCATCAAGTAATCTGCCGTTATATTTGCTGTCCTCCTCATTTCTTCTACAATCTCTTCAGCTGTGCACATGGTTCTGGTATATGGTCTGGATTCATTAGCTACTTGCGGTACTTTACCATCCTTTGATATCAATAGAAATTTTCCGCTATAACCATTGTTCACTGCCCATAGAGAAGAAAAACATGCACCGTTTCCCGTACCTACGATAACGGTAAAGTTTGTTTCATTCACGTTTTGTAGAGTAAAAGCATGATCATCAAGGTTGTAATAACCGTTTTTGCCGCTCAGCTCATTACCGTACTTATCCGTGAGCGGTTTCGGATTGGCATTTCCTAATGCATATATAACAGCGTTAGCAGAAATTGTCTTTCCACTTCCTAAAGTTATCACGCTTTTACTTGTAGTCTCATCTTCTGTGGTTTTTATTACCCTGTCGTGAATAAGTTGAATTTTTACTGGAGCTTCTTTTGACTCAAGAAGCTTTATAGTTAATTCAAGATGGTCGCGGATATACTCGCCAAACTGGATATGTGGAACACTAGCTTTTGGGTCGAAACCTTTACCTTTTACATAAGTCACATCACGAAATATACTCTTCCATTTTTCTGGATCTTTGCTGATATGTTCTATACATGCCGTTGGCGATTCTATTCCCAGAATCCCTATCGGATTTGCCATAGTGACCTGTGCTGGTGCCCCTCGATTATAGGTAGACCCTCCAGGATTGTTGATAGAATCAATTATACTTATTTCTAGAGTATGGCCGAGAGGAGTGGTATTAAGAAATTCATGAGTTAAATACGTGGCTGACATAATCGCGCTTACACCAGCACCGATTATGACTATATTTGTAGAATCAATACCACTCTTAATTTCGTGCGCTGTTTGATATTTTTCTCTCCTACATGGTTTTTGCAACGGAACATCTTCTTTTACGATTAAAGTGTTATCCATATGGTAATATGTCCGAAAACCTACTTCATTAGCTACAACGTGTATGCTTCCAGTAGTATGCTTGACAATCAACGCACCATCATAGAATTTTTCTGACTCTCCAAATGGCTGACGCAATTCTCCAGCACCCTCAATATAAATAGCCCGGCAGATCTGTATTCCTTTCCGTTGTTTCCATCCATATATGTATCCATCCTTATTTTCATAATCTTGAACATTCTCCATCATTTTATTTATGAAAGCAACGTTTGATGGGTAACGATTACTGAGTCCCATGCTTTCTGCATAAGCAAGAATTTCTTTAAGTTGAGGCATTGTAATTTTTTCTGGATCACTATATCCATCCAGCTTCACTTGTAATTTTTCTGCTTGTTCCTGGCTTACTTCGTTTAAAATTATGACACTACGCTCGTCTCCTCCAAGCCCTGAGATAGCAGCTACCCATTGATCATCGACATTATTATAAAAAGCGATACCTGTACCACTGATAATGTCGTCTCCACACTTCACAGGGTCACCTTGATGAAATTCTTCACCAGATTTATACTTTCCACTTTTCGTAATCTGGACAGTTTCACCCAGCTCTGGCACACTTAGAATAAACTTTCGCGCCACAGAAATAACTGGAATTGATTTATCGTTACTGAAATCGAGGTCATCAGCAAAGATTATCGGTATGCCAATATCTTTTGTGGAAGATTTCCGAACTAACTCGTTAATTCGCTTAGACGCTGTATCACACGTTATATTGGTATCTCTTATTGATTCATACGGTGGAAAATGGTCGTGATAAACTTGAGGAGAATATTTTAGCACATGATTTATTACATCGCAATCAGTTATTTCACAAGTGAGAAATTTTGCAATAACCTCAACCTTCCTGCCAGTCGTCTCGGCCTGGTTAAACTCCTTCTGCCAGATTCGCGGAAGCTGAACTTTTCCTCTTTGATGGTCATTAATCATGGCAGAAACCATATGCTCGAATGGCGCTGTTACAGTAAAAATATTTTCGCGACAAAAAAGGGCAAATTTCTTGAATTGTTCATTGAGTGTCGGAGAAAACTCGACAACTATACTGTCGAGATTTCGGACGTCTTCGGCATTATGAATCAATTCGGAATCAATGGCTTTTTGAAGATTTGCTATTGTATTGCCAAGCAAATCTTGCATTAGAGCTTCACGAAAGGATGCAGCGAACCTTTGGTAGATGAGCCCCATCAGATCATTATCTTTGTAGATACTGAATTTAAGTAACTTAACATTTCCATTATGCGGAACGGTGACCATATATTTAGCTATTAATTCATCAACTGTTTCGTCCAAAATATCCCAGGCGAACGGAAAATTGTTCTTTATCATTTGCGGGTGAAAACGCCCTATGCGAAGTCCATCTTCAAGGTCCGTTACATTGAAAGCCAGACGGTCAGACTGGGCGGCTATTTGGCCTTCTATGTGATTAAAACCATCGAACTTCATCACACCGTCATGTGCTTTATCTATAGCTTTCACTCCATCGGGAATTTCTACCATTTCATGGTTATAAAAACTACGTGGCTGACTTTGCTTGTAACGCCAGAATCTTTTGGCGATACCCTCAATCAAAGTCGGAGAAAGATTTCGACCCTCTTTCCCATCTTCCGCCCAATCGGTCAGTATCCTTAATGAAGTAGTATCATGGTTCCAGTTTAACCCATGAGGTTCCAAAGCTTTTTTTATTGCCACTTCGCCCCAGTGTGCGAATGGTGGATGGCCAATGTCGTGGGCCAGCGCTATATTACCTGCCAATAGTTGGCTTTCTCTGCCCAATCCTAACTTTCTTGCTATTTCTTCAGCCGTATCTTTTACAATTATAGAATGTGTTTCGCGGTTCGTGAGTCGTGAATCACTGTAATTTATTGCAAACTGGTAAATACCTTTAAGTCTTGTCCATGCACGGCTATTTAGAATATAATTCCGATCACCTTCAAACCTTGCGGCTACATTTCTTGCACCTTCCAACAAAACTGATTCAGCTTGATACAAATCACTTCTATTATTAAAGTCGAAACGCTGTCCCATATGAAAACTAGTAATTGGACCTAGATTATGGTCAGACATTTCAATCTTATTATAAATTGAATAATCGTTGGTAAATGAGCTAAAATTTGAATACCAGAAAGTATTATAATAGCAGCTACAAAATATACACAACTAATTTTGACTAGATACACTAAAGGATGAAATAAGTTTACTGTTGCAGAAAAACTGCAAAAGAAAACCCTTTCTTTCTGTTTCATACACTACACAGCGATTGTAGTTGTGCAATTACATTACACACATAACCTTTTGTGTATATAACGTTTAACTGTATATGTACAGGCCTTCTCACAATAGCAAACTGACGCATTGGTTTCCAAATAATGCGTCAATCACACACTCAAGGTTATGTGCGTCATTAGTGATTAGTACAACGTAATTGCACAACTTCAATCGTTGTGTAGTGTATACAACTGAAAGAACGAGATTACTTTTGCAGTTTTTCTGCAAAAGTAAACTTATTTCATTCTTTTATGTATCTAAGTAGTCAAAAATTCTTAAAAAGAATTATTTTTTTCTAATTGCATTAGTTTCTTCGCACTAAAACACTTTTCATAGACGCATTTTCGAAAGAAACTGTAATGACTGGTCGGAAAAAGTTTCTTGGTTCAGACATGAATGTTAGAAGCTTTTATTTAAGCTGAACGTCGAGTATTTCTTTTGATCTCCAGTTAATGGATTGCTCAAGCAGTGTATCATTCAGCAACAACTGTTATTTCTGTTTAGAATATATCTGTTTATTAATTTTATTTGTTTATGTAAATTTACCTCAAATGTATAGAACAGATTTCTGCGTTTTTATATTCGACATATAATTACTCAGGTTGTCACAAAATAAACATATATAGCATACTGAAAATTCTGATTCTAGAAGGGACCGGATTTTACTTTTAATAGTTCAAAAGTGAACGTTTGTTTCAGTCTTTCAGCTAATGCATAACTTACATTTTTAAACGCAAACTTTTTTGTTTTAGAAAAATAATAAAAGTCAAATGAAAACGTCTGAAAAATTCTATAGTATGAAGTGGCATAGTAACTAGAATGGAACGAAAAATAGAAAGTATATCGAAAGTGCACTCAGTTTTCAAAAATAACATATGCGCGATCAGTTGCCTTCAGCATATCACATTATTACAAAATACTTTTTTATTCAGTTTTACACCTCTACTCTCAGTCGAGTTTTTCATTTCTTTTAAGGCCCCTCCCCCAGATCAGAAACCTATCTCAGCCCAGGTAGGTCTGATCTGAACCAAACTTTCAGGGAATGTTGACTATGTCAAAGTGTAGTAAAGAAATTTTTTTTGGCATTACTTGTAACTGTTTGTGAGAGGGCGCCACACCAAGAGTCAAAATTAGGCGTCTACCACGCACAAGAATTTTCATTTCAGGTAAACGATGGAGAGCTCGGACTGCTTTTGTTTAGCAGTAAACACCTATGCCTTGTAGTTGATAGAGCCTGATTTTTCAATTTCTCATTTGCTGGTATCTGGTGCTTAATAGAACTTTAAAGTCAAAAAATCGGTGGAAGGTTTCTTCGAAATCCTTATTTCTATAAAAAATAGAAGCATAATTTAAGAATCGGACTCTGTCAACTCCTACCTATAGGTGTTATCTACAAATCAAAAACAAAAAATTTCTTGCTCCGATATATCATTACCGAGAATTCCAATGCGTGGCGACAACTTAAAGCTAAAAAACAGTGTTAAGAGAAACGGAAAATAAGTCTTGATCCTGTTATGCGTTTTACTTGAAAACTCTTTGACCGTTAAATAATCTGTTGCTATTTTTCTAGATGTTATTGGTCATGGGGATCTGATAAACATGTGCGCGACCATGTGCGGCACTTGCGTGTGTTTATGCAATACAAGTGCAAAAGACCATTTTTTTTTGCTATTGGACTTCTGGAAAACTCGCTCAAACGCAATGTAAAACCTATCTTACACAAAAATGATGCCATTAAAAGGTAGACATCTTGGGCTATCCAACCGTGTGCGTCATCAAAATCAATACTTTTGACGAAAATCAACATTTCCGACCCGACGGGGTGAGAGGAGGGGCTTAAGTGGATGAGCGTCTTTTACTTTCTGCCATTTTCTGTTTTCGGAACTTCATAACGAGGTTTAAGGACCAAAATCTATCAAAGCCTTGTGTGTGCATAGCATCATAACACAGTCTGACTGTATTTTGAATTTTTTATTGCTAATATGAATGATTTTGTGATTTTGAAGGGCGTATTCTAAGCAAGCAACGTTCATCACATTCCTTTTATCGAGGGTTTTCGGCAGTATGGAGTAATAAAAGTTCTCTTCATTTCACAAATGTTTCACTGTTTTAGAAAAATCTGTTTGCCAAATTTTTAAAAAGACTGTCTGCCATAAAAATCTCCCCACCCTGAATAAAAAGAATCGGAAACCCTGCTTTTATCTCAGCTCTAGTGTTCATTGCTTTTCAGTCTCTTTGAATATTCTTTTACTCTACTTATAATAATACTTTATGTGATCTTAGCTACAAATAATTTTTCTGTAGACAAATATTCGTGTATGTCCTTATTCTCTAAAAAGTAGCTTTTAAAAATGAACCAAGTAGCTAACCTGTTCTATCAAGGTCATATATCGTTTAAATAATTCAAAAACTGAATTGTATTTTATCAGAGACCATGTGATATGTATTAGTTGTAGAGTATAAAAGAAGTTAATCATCAAAACTAAGTCGATCAAAAATGTAAAATAAAGAGAAAAATTCTTTTTGGAAATTCAGAACTGCTCACTACCTACTCTCTAAAAGCAAAAGGGGCCTGTTATGCCTGGGATGCATTCTGAACTGTTCCATTCTTTTAGTCATTCCTCTACATCCAAGCTATCTATATTATTTATTCACGCTTGAGTAGTTATGTTTAATATTTTCTCTTTTTCTGCTTTTCTTTTCGAGATATAAGAAAAAATGGTAAAAATCCTATGTACAGAGTGCGTAAAAATGTTTTTCCATGGGGGTAACGCTATAATTGCGAATAGGGTAAGTAATGAATTTTATACCAGATGAAAGCCCGTCGAAAACGGGATTTATTGATGCTAAATAGTAAG